GATTTGGAGGCATCATCTCTATGGCATGAAGTTTGCAGTGTTCAGTGATCACAAGAGTTTAAAGTACCTATTCGATCAGAAGGAGCTGAACATGAGGAAAAGGAGATGGATGTAGTATCTAAAGGATTACGACTTTGAGTTGAAGTACCATCCTGGCAAGGCCAATGTGGTAGCTGATGCTTTGAGTCGAAAATCCGCGAGTCTAACCAGTTTGACCATGGGTGATTATGATATCATCGAACAATTTCGAGATCTGACGGTGACCTCTTTATTTGGAGGTGCACTTCTCGAAATGGAAACCGTGCAAGTTGAGAACGAGCTCATGGAAAAGATCAAAGAGGCGCAAGTGCAGAGAGAGTGCCTAGATTATGTGAAGAACAAGGACGGTGTGTCTTGGGATGAGGATGGACTGTTGACCTTTCAGAAGAGGATTGTGGTTCCTCGAGGTCCGTTGACTGTTGAAGTGATGAAAGAGGCTCATAAGGGCCAGTTTACTGTCCACCCTAGTGCTTCAAAGATGTATCAGGATTTGAAGAGGAATTATTGGTGGCCGAGCATGAAGAAGGACATAGGTGTTTTTGTGTCTAAGTGTCTGATATGCCAGAAGGTAAAGATAGAACACCAGAAGCCATCTGGTAAACTTCAACCTCTTGAGATTCCAGAATGGAAATGGGAGAGCATTTCCATAAACTTCGTGGTGGGTTTGCCGAAGACTCAGGCTGGTTGTGACTCTATATGGGACATTGTGGACAGATTGACGAAGTCTGCCCACTTTCTTCCGGTAAAGGTGAACTTCACTACTGAGTAGTTGGCCAGACTATACGTTCGCGAGATTGTGAGACTTCACGGGGTGCCCGAGAGTATCAGTAGTGATAGGGACCCGAAGTTCACATCTCGGTTCTAGGAGGCGCTGCAGGAGGCTTTTGGTACAACCTATCACCCTCAGACTGACGGACAGACTGAGCGGACCATCCAGACATTGGAGGACATGTTGAGGGCTTGCACTTTGGAGCAAGGTTCAGCATGGGATAGGTACCTGCCATTGGTTGAATTTTCGTACAACAACAGTTTCCATGCTAGCCTGGGCATGGCACCCTACGAGGTGTTGTATGGCAGGAGGTGTTGGTCTCCTACCTGCTGGTCTGAGGTTGGAGATAAAGACTTGATTGGCTTGGACTTTGTCCAAGATACCACCCTGCAGATCCAGTTGATCAGGGAAAAGCTGAAGCAGGCGCAGAATCGTCAGAAGAGTTACTATGATGTGAGGCATCGTCCACTTGAGTTCAGTGAGGGTGAGCACGTGTTTGTGGGACTTTCACCTGTCACCGGTGTTGGTCGGGCACTCGGAGTGAGGAAGCTGAGCCCGCGATTCATTGGGCCCTACCATATATTTGGTAGAGTAGGACCTGTTGCCTACCAGCTTACCTTGCCTCCGAACTTGGCCAACATCCACGACGTGTTTCACGCGTCTCAGCTTCGCAAATATGTAGCGGATCCTTCGCACGTGGTTCATCCGGATGATATGGAGGTTTGAGAGAACCTAAAGACTCCCGTCGGACCACTCAAGATTCTCGATCGTGGCGAGAAGCAGCTAAGGAGCAAGATCATTCCGATGGTCAAAGTGCAATGGACAGGAAGAACTCCTGAGGAGTGCACTTTGGAGCGAGAGGACGAGCTTCTGCAACAGTATCCCGACTTCCAAGACAGGTATGTTTCTGATTTTCAGGACAAAATCCTAAAAATGTGGGGTGAATGTAAGAACTCGCACCGTTAATTAAGGAAGTTAATTAATTAATTAAGTGAAATTAGGAAATAATTCCATAATTGACCCTAATGATTATTATGAAGCTTAAATAATCATGGTAAATGAGTAACATTGCTGAAAGTCGCTTTTCTGACGAAAAGTGCAGATACCGGTTCTGCTACTCGGTATAAATGCGTACCGATGAAGTATCCCGGAAAATTATAAAAAGTGGGTATATGTTACTAGAATAATATATAGGACTTGTAAAACAAGTTTCAAGTTAAAATAATGAGAATTGGTGCCAGAATTGATACTGGCTATGGAAAAGCGCATACCGGAAAGGTGCTGCGAAAAATAAAATAAAAATATGATAAATCTTAGAAAAATGAGTAGGTTCAAAATCTCAAGTTTGGGATTAAAATGCTAAGCGTAGCTGTTAATGTTAATATTGTGTGTTATTTCAAGTGGACCTATTTAAGCTAAAAGGCACAAAACCCTATGCCATAATTTGGCTGCTACGTGAGTGTCTTGAGTGCTGATTCTCTTCAGCCATTGTCCCTTCCCTTGAAGCTTGGACCCTTGTGCTTGTTTGAGGGCCAAGAACTCACCTTTTTACTTAGATTTCTTCACACTTAACCTTGTAAACACTTAGTAGTACATGGTGGGTAGGTAATGGTGCCTTGTTTCTGAGTTGGTTTCTGTCTTGTGGGGGGTTTTGTGGGCCGAGTTGGTGTTTCCCTTGGTGTAAGCCATTATTCATGCTATTGGAGGCTTCTTGGAGCCATCTTTGAGTGGAAAGGTCCAAGCTTGTGTTGTATTTTCGTGGCTTGGCAAAGTCAGAACCTTGGTGCTGTGTAGAGTGCCCCTTGTGTGTCTCATTTTCGGAGTTTTGGAGCTTGAGGTATACTATGATCATAGCCTTTGTCATTTTGAGGTTTTAAGCTTGTTTAATCGGTTAAAAAGAGAAACTTTAATCATTTGAGTAAAGAAATGTGTTTCTGAGTTCATAACATGTTAATGAATATCTGTTTAGGGAGTCATTGGAATCCCAATCGCATTTAGACCCTTAAAAAGGGGATTATGTAGATCACTGTTCGTATTTCTGCATTCTGGTGAAGAAGTATTCGAATACTTTTCGTGTAGTATTGGAATACTTGTTCACTGGTAGTCGAATACTCCTTGCAGGAGTATTAGGATACTTTTCTGGGGAAAAAAGTATTCGGATACCTTGAAGAAGTAGTCGAATACTGGGTAGTATTCGAATACTAGGGTGTGGGTATTTAAATACCATGTGGTATTCGAATACTTCAGTGAAAGTAGTCGAATACTTTCTGGAGAGCAGGAGTATTCGAATACTCATCGGGGAGTATTCGAATACCTCTTGCAGAAACTGCCTAAAATGACTTAAAATGATATGGAAAGTCTTAATCACTTAATATAACCTGGAGCAATGGTTATTGATGATTATTTACTGTATAAATAGATTGTGATTGTGCTGTTTGTGGGCTTGAGCTAGTGTGAGCTCTTGGTTTGGACGTATTGCTTAAAAGGTAAGCTTTCGTATCCTCGGTTTAGCCATTATTGGTTCCACCATGTCCCATGGGGGGATGGTTTATATGCATGATGTGTTTTCATGTACTGTTTTATTGTAATGCTATGGAGCTGTTAAGTGTAAATGCTTTATGATATGTATGTGGTGTGACGCCTACACAGAAGGCCATGGAGCGATCCTGTGGGCGAATACAACATGGGCTGATACTGTGTGGGTAATAGATGTATTCCTGCACTTCTCTGATCAGTAGAATAGTATAAACACACATGACATGATTATCTGTTACATTGCACTATTTTGGAACTTATATTGTTAAATGGCTTTTGAACTTATATTGCACATGTAAGTGAGCTTGGGGTGGAAGATCTTTGAGGGCCCTTGTTTTACTGAGATTTCTTTTTAGAGATCTCACCCCACATTTGGGGCACCATTTTCAGGTTCAGGTAATGCGGGGTTGAGACCTTTAGTGGCAGGAGGCTAGAGCTTAGTTGATTGATGATATCTGCTTATGCTATTTATGTTGTTTTGCTATTATACTTGGATGCTGGATCTTGTTTACTGCTTTATGATGTAGCTTCATTTATGGATTACCTTGTTGAGACCTTGTTGACTATGCTGTTTATTTGGTGAGCATGGGGATTGTCCATGCCACATTGACTTGACTTTACGCTTTTAGTTTTGGTGTTGTAATTAATAATGTATCAGGATATTGTTTGGACTACGTGTTGTAGATTCGTGACTTAGATACTCACTTATATATGTTATGAGGTTATTCAGTGTAGATAGTTGTCTATTTGCAATTTACATACAGGCGATGTTTTGAAAAATGATTAAGTAATCAAGCTGGTAATTGATAATGACGTCATAATTGAAAAGAAAAAGATATTTCGCATTTTTAAATTAAGCGTGGCTTAATACGATGACATGATAAAAAACTGGATATATACGGGGTGTTATATTTTATGGTATCAGAGCACTTTTTAGGGAAAAGACTGTATGTATTGTAATAATTAAGATGCTTGGTTGTGTCTATCTTGTGTGATTGCTTCGTTGGATTTTATTATGACGATGCATATGTAATCATATTGCGTGGGCCTGATCAACTGATAATTTGTGTAACTTGTGCAGAGTCATGGTAAATTCCAGGAGGACCCGCGAGATTGCTGAGGGTCAACCCGACTCAATCCTGACTGCATTAGCTGAGATGCAGAGGCCGCTAGGTTGGCCAACGTGGCAATGATGGACGCTGTTAGGGAAGCGAACCAGAAGGCCACAGAGGATGCTCTTGAGGCGAACCGTTTGGAAAACATGACCATGATGAGGGTCATGTTGGAGGGGATGAGAGCTAGTCCTGCTGTTGGTCAGTTCCTACCGCCACCACCGCCTCCACCTCCACCCAGTCTACAGGACGACAGTCAGAGCTATATGGGAGATGGCAGCCACCTGACTGGGGCGATGCAGGCCTTCCCGATGCCTGCAGAGGATAGAGATATGATTGATCGCCGGCTGAATGCTTTCCGTAAGCATAAGCCACCTTCCTTTGATGGGTCTTATGATCCTATTGTTGTGGCGAGATGGCTACAGGCGCTTGATAAGATCTTCCGGGTCATGCAGTGTACTGATCCACAGAAGCTTATGTTCGCTACCTACATGTTGGAGGGCAATGCCCATGAGTGGTGGATGAACACCTCTCATGCCTTCGAGATGCAGGGTCATGTTATAACATGGCTATTCTTTGAGGATTGCTTTCTTGGGAGATATTTCCCATATGATGAGCAGGAGTGGAAGCAAGGAGAGTTCGACAAGTTGGTTCTGGGCTCGTTGTCTGTCGACGAGTACCTGGCCAAGTTCAATGAGCTGGTAAAGTTTGCACGCTTCCGGATGGAGAGGCCTACTCTGATCTTTTTGGCCGCTAAGTTCCGCATGGGACTTAGTGAGGACATTGCTGGTTACCTCGTTGGTTCTGCTTCGAGAGACTTTGGGACACTGGTGCAGCAGTGTCGAGATATCGAGGATTTATGCAACTCGAGTAAGGCCAAGATTGCTGATACGAAGGGAACGAATAGTTCCACTTCCTGGAAGGACGAGAATTTTGCCGGAAAGGGAAAAGGTAAGCTGTTGGCTGCTGGGCAGGCGCCTAGTCAGTTCAAGAGGATTTCACTCAGGGGAGTTCAGCGAGACCTCCTACTCCCCGATGCACGGGATGTGGGAAGGTTCATCTGGGGCCGTGTGCTACCGGCCAGACCATATGTTTCCAGTGTGGCAAGGAGGGCCACTATGTTAGAGAGTGTCTATTGTCGACGGCGAGAGCTGCAGCGGTTCAGGCACTTCCACTTCAGATGGTTCCTCTTCCACCAACAGCGGCACCTGTTGTGCCACCTGCCATGGGGCGAGTTTACACCTTGGATCGTCAGCAGTCGGACCGAGCTCCGAACCTTGTCAGAGGTACTGTTTCCATTGGTGGATCTTCTGTTGATGTCTTGTTTGACTCCGGGGCTACGCATTCATTCATTGCAACCCCGATTTCTGTAGGGCTTGAGTTGCCCATGTCTGTGCTTTCTCCACCGTTGCGGGTGACTACTGCCACCGGAGAAAGATGTGATTCTATCGCTGTTCATCGCGATGTAGCGTTTCAGTGGGATGGTCGTGAGTTCTCGGTAGATCTGATAGGATTGCCATGGCCAACTTGGAGATTATTCTGGGCATGGATTGGTTGTCCAGAAATTGTGTGATGATTGACTGTTGTGCCAAGCTAGTGGTGATGTCTCCGTGTGACTCCACAGCCAGTTCCTCGCCTTATAAATCATTACTGCAGGCTAGGAGAGCCTTGAGAGCAGGGGCTTTCAGATATGTCTTGTTGGTGGGTTTGGTGAGTGGGGCACATGAGGATATCACTGGCATTCCTGTGGTGAGGGAGTTCCTCGAGGTATTTCCTGAGGACATCCCTGAGTTTCCGCCGCAGAGGGAGATTGAGTTCTCCATTGACTTATTTCCCCGTGTGGGGCTCGTTTCATTGGCTCCATATCGGATGTCGCCACCAGAGTTGGCTGAGCTGAAGAAGCACATTGAGGACCTTTCAGGGAAAGGCTTCATTCGACCGAGTGTGTCTTCATGGGGAGCACCAGTCATTTTTGTGAAGAAGATAGACAGAACTATGCGATTGTGCACGGACTAGAGGCTGTTGAACAAGGTGACAATCAAGAACAAGTATCCCCTTCCGCGCATTGATGATCTATTGGATCAACTGAAGGGTGCTTGTGTGTATTCGAAGATCGATCTCCGGTCTGGATACCATCAGATTCGGGTGAAGCCGGAGGATTTCCCGAAGACCGCGTTTCGTTCGAGATACGGTTACTATGAGTAATTGGTGATTCCTTTTGGACTCACAAATGCACCCGCAGTGTTCATGGATTACATGAACAGGATTTTCCAGTCGTATCTGGATCAGTTTGTGATCGTCTTCATTGACGACGTATTGATTTACTCTAAGACTGAGGAGGAACACGCTGAGCACTTGAAGATTGTGTTGCAAGTGCTGAAGGGGAAAAGGCTTTCTGCTAAGCCTTCCAAATGTGAGTTTTGGCTCAAGTCCGTAAAGTCTTTGGGACATGTGATTTCTGCAGTAGGAGTCGCAGTGAATCCGAACAAGATTGAGGCCGTGCTTGATAGGGAGAGGCCCAAGACGGTTACTGCAGTGTGGAGTTTTCTGGGTTTGGCAGGGTACTAACAGAGGTTCATCAAGGGATTTTCCATGCTGGTTCTGCCATTGACTCGCCTTACCCGCAAGGAGACTCCATTTTTGTGGACTCACAAGTGTGAGGAATGTTTCCAGGAGTTGAAGGAGAGACTGACTACTGCACCAGTGTTAGTCCTTCCTGATCCTGCTGAGGAAGTTGAGTTGTACACCGACGCCTCCGGAAAGGGGCTCAGATGTGTGTTGATGCAGTTGGGCAAAGTGATTGCCTATGCTTCGAGGCAGTTGAAGCCTCATGAGGATAACTACCGGACTCATGATTTGGAGTTGGCTGCTATTGTGTTTGCTTTCAAGATTTGGAGGCATCATCTTTATGGCATAAAGTTTCCGGTGTTCAGTGATCACAAGAGCTTGAAGTATTTGTTTGATCAGAAAGAGCTGAACATGAGACAGAGAAAATGGATGGAGTATCTGAAGGACTACGACTTTGAGTTGAAGTACCATCATGGCAAGGCCAATGTGGTAGCTGATGCTTTGAGTTGGAAATTCGTGAGTCTATCCAGTTTGACCATGGGTGATTAAGATATCATCGAACAGTTTCGAGATCTGACGGTGACCTCTTTGTTTTGAGGTGCACTTGTCGAAATGGAAACCGTGCAAGTTGAGAATGAGCTCATGGAAAAGATCAAAGAGGCGCAAGTGCAGAGGGAGTGCCTAGATTATGTGAAGAACCAGGACGGTGTGTCTTGGAATGAGGATTGACTGTTGACCTTTTAGAAGAGGATTGTGTTTCCTCGAGGTCCTTTGACTGTTGAGGTGATGACAGAGGCTCATAAGGGCCAGTATACTGTCCACCCTGGTGCTACAAAGATGTACCAAGACTTGAAAAGGAACTATTGTTGGTCGGGCATGAAGAAGGACATTGTTGTTTTTGTGTCCAAGTGCTTGATTTTCTAGAAGGTGAAGATAGAACAACAGAATCCATCTGGTAAGCTTCAACCACTTGAGATTCCGGAATGGAAATGGGATAGCATTTTCATGGACTTCGTGGTGGGATTGCCGAAGACTCAGGCTGGTTATGACTCTATCTGGGTCATTGTGGACAGATTGACCAAGTCTGCCCACTTTCTTTCGGTGAAGGTGAGCTTCACTACTGAGCACTTGGCCAGAATTTATGTTCACGAGATCGTGAGACTTCACGGGGTGCCCGAGAGTATCATCAGTTAGGGACCCGAAGTTCACATCTCGATTCTGGGAGGCTCTGTATGAGGCTTTTGGTACGCAGTTGAGACTGAGTCAGCCTATCACCCTCAGACAGACAGACAGACTGAGCAGACTATCCAGTCATTGGAGGACATGTTGAGGGCTTGCACTTTGGAGCAGGGTTCAGCATGGGATAGGTACCTGCCATTGGTTGAATTTTCTTACAACAACAGTTTCCATGCTAGCCTGGGCATGGCACCCTACGAGGCGTTGTATGGTAGAAGGTGTCTGACTCCTACCTGCTGGTCTGAGGTTGGAGACAAGGAGCTGTTTGGCTTGGACTTTGTCCAAGATACTATCTTGCAGATCCAGTTGATCAGGGAGAAGCTGAAGCAGGCGCAGAATCGCCAGAAGAGTTACTACGATGTGAGGCATCGTCCACTTGAGTTCAGTGAGGGTGAGCACGTGTTTGTGAGACTTTCACCTGTCACCGATATTGGTCTGTCACTCGGAGTGAGGAAGCTGAGCCCGCGATTTATTGGGCCCTACCAGGTCCTTGGTAGAGTAGGACCTGTTGCCTACTGGCTTGCCTTACCTCCGAACTTGGCCAACATTCACAACGTGTTTCACGTGTCTCAGCTTCGGAAATATGTAGCGGAACCTTCGCACGTGGTGCAACCGGATGATGTGGAGGTTCGGGAGAACCTAAAGAATCCCGTCGGACCACTCAAGATTCTCGACCGTGGCGAGAAGCAGCTGAGGAGCAAAGTCATTTCGATGGTCAAAGTGCAGTGGACCGGAAGAACTCCTGAGGAGTGCACTTGGGAGCGAGAGGATGAACTTCTCCGACAGTATCCTGAGTTTCGAGACAAGTATATTTCTGATTTTGAGGACAAAATCCTAAAAAGGTGGGGTGAATGTAAGAACCCACACCGTTAATTAAGGAAGTTAATTAATTAAAATGTGAAATTAGGAAATAATTCCATAATTGACCCTAATGATTATTATGAAGCTTAAATAATCATGGTAAGTGAGTAATAATGCTGAAAGTCGCTTTTCTGACAGAAAAGTGCAGATACCAGTTCTGCTACTCAGTATAAATGCGTACCGATTAAGTATCCTGGAAAATTATAAAAAGTGGGTATATGTTACTAGAATAAAATATAGGACTTGTAAAACAAGTTTCAAGTTAAAATAATGAGAACTGGTGCCAGAACTGATACTGGCTATAGAAAAGCGCGTACCGTAAATGTGTTGCGAAAAATAAAATAAAAATATGATAAATCTTAGAAGAATGAGTAGATTCAGAATCTCAAGTTTGGGATTAAAATGCTAAGTGTAGCTGTTAATGTTAGTACTGTGTGTTATTTTAAATGGACCTCTTTAAGCTAAAAGGCACAAAACCCTAGGCCATAATTTGGCTGCTACGTGAGTGTCTTGAGTGCTAATTCTCTTCAGCCATTGTCCCTTCCCTTGAAGCTTGGACTCTTGTGCTTGTTTGAGGGCCTAGAACTCACCTTTTTACTTAGATTTCTTCACACTTAACCTTGTAAACACTTAGTAGTACATGGTGGGGAGGTAATGGTGCCTTGTTTCTGAGTTGGTTTCTGTCTCTTGGGGGTTTTGTGGACTGAGTTGGTGTTTCCCTTGGTCTGAGCCATTGTTCATGCTATTGGAGGCTTCTTAGAGCCATCTTTGAGTGGAAAGGTCTAAGCTTGTGTTGTATTTTCGTGGCTTGGCAAAGTCAGAACCTTGGTGCTGTGTAGAGTGCCCCTTGTGTGTCTCATTTTTTGGAGTTTTGGAGCTTGAGATATACTATGATCATAGCCTTTGTCATTTTGAGGTTTTAAGCTTGTTTAATCGGTTAAAAAGAGAAACTTTAATCATTTGAGTAAAGAAAATGTTTCTGAGTTCATAACATGTTAATGAATATCTGTTTAGGGAATCATTGGACTCCCAATCGCATTTAGACCCTTAAAAATGGGATTATGCAGATCACTGTTCGTATTTCTGCATTCTGGTGAAGAAGTATTCGAATACTTTTCGTGTAGTATTTGAATACTTGTTCACTGGTAGTCGAATACTCCTTGCAGGAGTATTAGGATACTTTTCCGGGAAGAAAAATATTCGGATACCTTGAAGAAGTAGTCGAATACTGGGTAGTATTCGAATACTGGGGTGTGGGTATTCGAATACCATGTGGTATTCGAATA